TATTATTATTTGAGAAGTTGCGTTTATTAAAACTTCCTACCCCAGGATAATAAAGAGTCATTTAACAAAAAAAATAAATACAAGTTGAACGTGATCTTAGTGTAATAACAACAATATAATGTGTGTGTGTGCACATGGTCATGTAATGTACGCACCGTTGTTTTGCGATGATTGTTAGAACCGTAAGTGTAGTGATGAGACGACTAAGTATGAAAAGGTTTATTTTGTTTTAAATATGAAGCCGAGGAACTTTGAACAAAAATTAAACGAAGCACGAGATCAGATTATTAAAACGATAATAAATTTAACCATTATATTATTATATCATTATAACAGTCATGTCTTGTTAATAAATCTAACAGTGTTAAGCTTTTTGAAATTCTACCTAACAGATTTCCGTTTATGGGAATCCAAGAGTTTTCTTTCATAATCATTTTACCGTAAACGAGAGCGTCGTCGAGTGTGACTTCAATGAATGTAACACTGTAGTTCAATCCCGGAGAAACGCTAACACACCGATCTTATCAGTTCACTGAACAAAATAACAAAATAACAAAAAAAAAAAAAATATTAGTTTTTTTTCTACTATATACAACAAAACTTCTAAGTATTTGGATATACTCTTGGGTAATGAAGCTAAAAAGTTTTACGTTTTTAAAATGAACAGAATTGACGCCCATTCCTTTTAATGAAATACAAGAATAAATTATCTTAAGTGTATTAAAAAAAAAATCAAGGAGTTCATCTGCAGATCGAAATTCCACGTTATAGTGTATGCTTAATACACTATAACGTGGAATTTTGTATACTTAAACTACATAATGTATTCAGTTTAAAAATAAGCAGATAATGTATTTACTATAACAATGACGCTATTACATGAATGGTTAAATTAATTTAAAAATTTGTGAATCTCTGTTTGTCTGTTATCGTTTTCGATTACACCGGAATATCGTATTTTGTGAACAATTTTTCCAACAATATTGATATATATATAGGTAGATACGATCTAATGTGATTGATATTAAAATGTAGTATAGTGAGACATTTTAATATTTCAGTATACTTTTTCCATTAATCAAAACTGATGCCACATTACTATGTCATGTCATGTATATGTCATATACATTACAATTAATTTACTCCAGGTACAATTCGATAAAAGTGTATGATTCGTCGAAAAAAAACGCACTCGTCATCGATCTCTCGGTAAAGAGGAATGCATTTAATGCAAGATGATTATTGTATAAACGCGATCATTTATCAATATTATGTTCGTACCTTTTTGTACACAGACTTAAAAGTGCCATTCCGGCCGAATCGAATTTAAAGTGCACAGTATTATCATACAAGCAAGTGGTGTACAACCCTTTTAGATTTTTGACGTCCGAATCTATTTATTTCGTCGAAGTAACCCCTACGTAGTTCATAATATATATAATGTGTGTAACTTTATTATTCCGTGTAAAATATTTGTCGAACCCGCATTAAAATGTCAATAACTTTTTAGGGTTTGCGACCTCCAGGTATTGTGCACTATTTTTGTAGCCGGTTCGAGTTGATCTCTTCACTATTACCCGTAGAATTTGCTATTGGGGGAAAAAATAAAAAAGATAATACGAACACAATACTCGTCGTTATCTTGACCGTCAGTAGATCGGTATGTGTTCGCGTCTAACAACCCTATTATTTCCATGTCTGATGACAACATAATCCAATTCACTTTTTCAATTTTACCAATGTTAGCGACGTGCTCTTACTGCATTGAAAACAATGTGATAACTTATATTGGGAGTAACCCATTTGTGCCAAAATAAATTAATTCGTTTTGGGTATAGCCGATTTACGCCAAAATAAAAAAGGTACGTTATTTCCTACAGTCTATTTTCGACAAATTTACCCATGTAAATATTTTACATTAACGACTAGGTTAATACAAAATATATACATACTAATTATTTATAATTGTATAATTAAAATATGTATTAATGATTATTATATTAAAAGAAATGGTACAATTGACTATAATTGACTATAATTTAAATACAATTGTATTGATTATTATTATTACTATAATAATTTAATTATTATTTAAGGAAAAAATGTATTACTTTATTATAATTATCTTAAAACGAGATAACGTCCGTATAATAAAGGATTCGTACAATGGAGGTTCGAATTATCTTTACTAAATATGAATACTGTATCTGAATTAACCAAGTTGTTGTAAAATGTTTACGCAGGTTAATTTGTCGAAAATAGACTGTAGGAAATAACGTACCTTTTTTATTTTGGCGTAAATGGGCTATCCCAAAACGAATTAATTTTTTTTTGGTGTAAATGGGTGATGCCCTTTATATTATTATCATTGTCACGCTGGATTGCACATTTTTTACAGGATATTACAAAAACCAATGATCTGGTTAGACAGTTTTTTTCTACATAATCAACATAATATATGGAATCCAACAGTCTAGGTAGCTATTTAAATTACTCACAATGCAGTACCAAATTTCGTAAACATATTTAGGCTTTTTTATACGGTCTGTAAATAATTACAATAATAACAAAAATATAATTGACAAGGATATGATATTTGTTTAGTGTGTATTTTCCACATTTTTCATTAATTAAATGAAATATCCAGTACCAAGTGGAGGAATGTGTTGAATAGCCTGTTTAGAAGTGAGTTAAAAATAGCCAAGGTGAATATAAGTATAATATAAGTATGAGCAGTTTTCAAGTCGAATTTTGATATGTAAAAAATTGTTGTATAACCAGTGCACATGATTACTATCGCCATTACCCGTGTAACTTGTCGTTAGGAAAAATGAATAAAAAATTGACGAACACGCATTGCCGTCGTGAGATCTGCAGGTGTGTTCACCTCTTGAGATGATATTTTGTGATATTATTTTGATGTCTAACAATAACATAATGCACTATAAAAAATGTTATCGAACGTACGTTGAAAATAATGTAACAATATTTTCGTTGTCGCCCAGATTGCACATTATTTACATATTACCAAAACCGTTGAAATCCAGGAAAATATATGATATCTGAACATGATCGATAGTATTAAATGGTCCAGAAATTATTACCATGATAATATTATGTTGTTGACGTTTTGAAAATATCAACAGGCTATTATGTTCTGATTGCCGTGTAATTAAGTGATTAATTAAGTGATACATTTATTTTTCTAATATAACAGTAGCACAAGAGTGAAATGAGAAACGTGATGAGAAAGGAATGGTTAGGGTTAGAGGGATTGCGTAGGAGTATGATGCACGAGTTATATACAGACGTACCGTAGTTCCGCACAAATAAAATTATTTTGTAAATCCTCAACTACGCATGCATCATAATTCCGCACGGTCAAAAAAATTAACGTACCACATTCTAAAAATATTTTTTAACACCGAAAGTCGGCACGGCATAAAATGTTGAGTCTTTTCATGCCAAATTTGGTAATTTATTTATTTCAGCACATCCAAATATTGCAATTTTCATTAAAAACTTATTAGTTATGCAGATGGATTCTTACATACGAATTAATTCTGCTAATAATAATGGAAGTAGGATAGTTAGAACTAAACAAAAAAACCAATATGGAATTTATAAATAAAAATATAGAATTATATAACGACGGCAAAATTGATAGATATAATTTTTTTAAAAGTTTAGCACCATTTAATAATATTTAGTTTTAATTTATATTATAATTTTATTACATTTAATGTTATATGAACGATGACGATGTTTGTTGTAAATTTTTTTTAGTTTATTAGATTTTAGTTGTTACTACGAATAAAAACATAGTTATATATCGATGGCCAATTGATAGAATACTGATTTTTTTTTTTAATGATGTACAAAAATGTCTACAAAAATGATGTGCGGAGTTTGGGTTATATACTACAAAATGGCCACGATGCATGCGCAGATACGGTGCACCGTGTTTGACGAGCCAGGGACTTGAATCGTTTGTATCTGTTGTCAGAAAATAAAATAACCATTCCGATTAGGTTCCGGTTCTTTTTTAAACAAAAATATTGGTAGTGATTCCTATTATCAGTAAAATAGAATATTATTTTTTACCTACTGGACATACTATAATATACCGTCGTTCACCTGTTAGAGTGTATTGTAATTATAATATTACAGTAGTAAACAAAAATTTATTTTACAATAAATTGTTGCCGACCAACGTAACCCCCTATAAAATATTCAAAACAGGTGTACTATTATAAAATCGAAAATTACAGTCGCCAAGATTTAGCTTATCCATATTTTGCTATAATAATACACTAGCGGGCAGTGTGTTTATTATACTATTATCTTTGAATATATTATAATATTAATTGCAATTATGGTGTATATCGGAAAAGATATTTCCAAGTAGTATTATTTTTTAATAAATATACATGTAATGAGCATTTTGAAAGTATAATAATTTTAAATAGTAACCTGTTCAAAATACGAATTTTGTATAGTTCAACATACCGATAAAAATATTATAAGATTAGATCCTTGAGTAGTAATAACTAATAAGTTATGCTAAACAAAACCATTTTATTTTGGAACCTAAAAGAACCATTGTAACTCAAAAACACCAGTTTGGTTCCAGTACATAATTTATCAACATATATGATTCGATTCCTACTTTTTAAAAGGTTCCGGTTCTAGAATTGGTTCTTTTCGTTTCGGTTTTCGGTTCCTATGCCTGTGCACACCAAATCGTACCGCATGAAATTATCATGTAAGCGATGCGCGGATTCATTGCATAGCCATCAGTCGTTTAAAATAATTTTGCCGTTTGAAAAAATTGGGAAAGGGATAAAAACAAGGAATAGGTTTTTTTTTGTTTATTTTTAAAAGCTATAAATGCGAACACACTGTCGGTCGTTTCGCAGTCGTGAGATATCAGCGCGTGAAACGCGCGATATTCGCACACTCCTAACAACGTATTATTATCTCGACGTATGTTCTTTCAGTTCATCCGAAACAAAACGAAGGGATCCACCGAAACGTCCGGGGTCATTCGGCTGCGCCGAACCTGGCAACGGAGGCACCGCCGTCCGCGGGCACGTTGCGGACGACCCGCGGCAACCGGAGCAAGACGCCGCAGCACCTGGCCGTGGATATGCCACCCATGGACCATACCGACCAGGATCACTACCCGAGACAGAAATACCGGTCGAGGCATCGGAATTCCACACAGAGTAAGTATCGTCGTACGATATTCCAGGACAATGACGGCTACCTTTTTGACCGTGTGTGGGGAATGTGTTGGGGTACGAGATTATCGTGTATAGTGCAACGTCCGATGCACGGGGATCGTCGACCGTGTCAAAAAGCACACAACTCCCGTTCGGACCAGTGACGGTTATCGTCATTAACCCGTTTCGGTCCGGATATGTTTCCGTATGTTCCTGTAGCGGTCGAGTACCACACGACCACAACAAAAGATCTCTTCATTATTCACGTATTCTCCCTTTTATCATTTTACTTAACCTAAATAAACGTGATTTATTTCTAGTGTACTAATCAACAGTAATGATTATTTTACAATTGCTTTCTTATATTCTAAAATGTTTCATCAATCTATTATTTCCTATGGAAACATGCATTTTTAATGCGTTTTATGTTTCTCGTGACCTAAATATCATTTTTATTGGTTTTACTTAATACTACAGCATATACGAGTGCGGGCATACACAACAGTCCTTAGGTTACACGTATTTTACATATCGGAAGTAAGTTGTACAATTGTGTCCGCTGACCCATGAATCGCACACATCGTCGGCTTATTGGTAGTGCCGACAAAATCTGCCGATATTTTTTCCAATTGGTGCGGATGACGTCGTCGAAAGTGCGAAATTAAATAATTATAGAATCCGATTATAAATAGCCGCCGCATAGGCGATCCGATTGCTACGGCAGACGTACTGCCACAAATTTATCCGTTTCATACATTAAATCTGGTGTCCTGAGAGAGGTGCCATCCCTCGAGGGGGATGTACGCTCCGTACGTTCTAGTGTTGGAGCGGGGAGCGGTCGGGCGTACCCCGCACATGTCTACCTACGCTTGACTGGATGCGGATTCGGTCGTCCGATCCGTGACTCCCATTGTTCTCCAGCGAAAACCGGCGCCACCACGAGTCCGACCTCAAAGTTCTACGACGACAAGATGCTCGTTTGTTGAACTGCAGCTTACCGCATCCGAAAATCGTCCGATACCCTATGATTTTCGTCGTTTTTGCGTTTTTTCGATTAGTTTCTTTCATCGGCGAAAATTTCAATTGTTTTCTTTTCAACCGTTGTTGAAATCAGTGCTGTTCAAACGAACGGTTCCAGTTGCGTATTGCACACATTCCTGTAGAAGAAAAACACTTTGTTCTCATTTTTGGAGACCTTGAAGATATGATATATGCTAACCCGGTGGTCTTCCTTTCACCACCACTACCACCACATATCTTCTGTACCCGCTTTTCCGATTAAAACGAATTCACCGTTGTATCATATGATTTTACCGACTCCGGAACGCATTAACAGAAGGGACGAATACGGCTTTGCGTACCGATGCTTCACGCTCACACAGTGGCATAACCAGAAAAATATTTTGTGGTGGTTTAAAATTTTCAACTCTCTCTCCCCATTAGGTACCGACTTCTTAGTTTTAATAAGTCTATTAAACATAAATTAAAATATAAAATTTGTTATTAGTTAGTTCGCGGAAACTGTGAAAATTGTTTGATGATGATATGATATAACATTATACTTATGTCTTAAAATGATTGAATCTTACCAAATACGAGAAACATTTCGGGCGTGGGGGGTATACCCGTAAACTTCCTGGCCATGCCACTGCGCACACATATTATAATCAGATATTTGCGCAGCCGCGCGTTTCCCGGCCGACCGAAAGAAACCACCGGTGGTGGAGTGGTGGGCGAACGGAACTAATTGCGAGCGCCTCCTGTGTGCCGATGGTACAACAAACATAATTATTCATCGAAAACGCACGCGCTGTGTAGTGTATCTGAAGCGTTTTCGTAACGAGGCCTTGTGTTTTAATTTTTTTTTTCTGTCGTTCAAATTCCATTTGTTTCGTTTCTTTTTGTTCCTCATCAGTGCGCAACAACGGATGTGCCGTTGAATAAGTCCAACTTTTAAACGAACTGATTTTCGTGGTCAGTAAACATGGCAAATATGTCGCAATATCACATTTTTTCGGAATTCTTCAACGTACGAAACATTAACAGTGACTTAACATGCCGTTAATATCAAATTCTTGAACTTCTTTATCCATTTGCTGTTTCATTTATTTTTTTATTTTTTGAACATATTTATTGATTGATTTTTATTTTATAAAAAATAATAAGTAAAAACCGAATGAATACAATCGGGTGAGCTTGGTGGTAAGTTTACAAATAGCAAAAAACTTTTTTTAATATTTAATAATGAATCTTCATCGCCGGAAGAAATTGAACGTGCCGGAGAAAAATATCTTTTAACATTATATAAAGCTCCACCCACATTACGTCTTTGAATAAATTAAGACATGATGTTTTTCAAAAAACCGCAGCCTCTAACAAAAAACAAGTTCAACTAGTTAGACTTCCACCTACTATCGATGCGGCAAGAGAACATTTACATCGAGTTTATTTACAAATACAGTTGTGGCGTGGCAATAAATTAGATCCACAGAATTGGGGCTGGAAAGAATATAATGGTAAACTAAATCCAGTTTTCACGAAAAAGCCACCAGCACCGGATACTCTTTTGAATGTGATTAGTTGTGCCTGCACAAAAACATGTGAACAAAATTGTAGCTGTCGAAAATCAGGATTGCTATGTTCAGTTATATACAAGCATTGTCAAGGAGGTTCGTGTTTAAATCAGCAACCGATCATAGATGATGAAGAAGAGGACAATTTAGAGGACTATATTGACGAAATAAATCTAATTGAAAATCAAAAAGAAGAAACCAACACACCGACAATAAAAAAAATTCGACCCACATAATTTAATTAATAAGGTACAGTATGATTTTAATAATTCAATACATAATATAATATAAATATGAAAATATTAAGTATATTAATTAATTTTGTTTCAGGACCTACAACCCCATTACACTATTCCAGGACCTACACCATTTTTTAAATTTAATTTCATAACTTATAGTCTGAAAAAATAAAAATAAATGTATAATTTTCAATTTTTGTATTTATTTTAAAAATGATTGTAATTAATAGTTATTTCATAATTCAATTTTTCTTTAAATTTCACTTTTATAAATATGTATGTCAAATAAAATAATGTATTTTTATTGTAAATTTTATGGTCTTTAATTTTGGTCATAGGTATTTTTAATGTAACTTGTAAAGCTGACGAGTTATAAGCGAAAACAGTGAAAGGGGCGCGCCACCCTTTGAAGAGGGGTGGAGAGCTACGCACAGGGGGTAGGTGTCAGGACTTTTAGTATGTTCATCAGTGAGGTATAAACTAAAAAAAAAAACTAAAATCCTGCTTTCGTGGAATTAGTTCCGAACTTTTTTCTAATTTGACTGGACTATTTGAGGAAAGTCTTCTTTGTAGATCATTATAAAGTAAGTATCGTATCGGTTTCTGAAAATTAATTTTTACTTACTTATGCTCTAGTTTTCTAGTTTTATTAAAAGTGAACCTGTATTTTGTATTTTTTTCAGGATTTGATGTATGTATCTAAAGATGTATTACAGTCAGAAATAGAAGTGGCAAAGAATTGTATATTACAGTCTACTGATGAAAATTATATAACTTTAAATGATGTGAAAAAGGTTTTAACAAAACAGGTTTTCTCTAATTTATTTAAACTATTTCAAGTTACTTTAACGATTCCTATTAGTTCCTCCACTTATGAAAGGAGTTTTTCGGCCATGCGTAGAATAAAAACTTGGCTCCGAACTTCTATGTTGCAGGAAAGGTTCAACAACACCTCAATATTATATATTGAAAAATAAATTTCTAAATCTATTAATACTAAAATAATTGTTAATATATTTGCACAAAAAATAGATATATACAATTAAAATAAAAATAATTTAGTAGCTATTCAATATTTTATTTTTTTATGTTCCTATTACCTTTATATATATTTGGTGCCTCAGCTATAATAAAATAGGAGTAGCCACTACAGTTAGTAGGTGGAAGCGTCGAAAACAACTAAAAATATTTGTTTCCGCTAATGAATATGACAAAAATGTTAAGCCCCATAGATGAAACCAAATATCCGCCTATACGCACGATCGAGTCACAATTAATTTGTTCACACAGACGTAGGATATACAGGATATTCCTGTATTATTATTTTTATTCCCATATTATGCGTTGTGCTCGTGAAACGTCCTAACGATATGGGTTCGGTATTGTTTTATAGGTGGGTTTTATGTTCACGAGGACGATAGAGGACTGCACCACACGAATATTGTTTCCTATCTAACCGCAGACTGTTTTACTTGCCGAGCAAATTGTTTGTTCGAGCCGAAGGTATTGACTTAAAACCAGAGTGTAATCCGAAACCCCTTTTTGGTCATAGACAACTGAATAGAAATCGGCTGTTTGTTGACAAGAGTACTGATTTGAATTTCTAATGCATCACACTCGTAATACGAACTTTATACACATGTATATACATTTGTACACAAAATATCATTACGTGTTCGTTCCTACGGTATGATTCGATTGATATAATGTATACGTATATATATATATATATATATATGTTCATTGGACATTAGAGATACGTAGCTGAAGTAATTGTGAAGTATGGACGTTGGACAACAGATTTTTGCGTGAACTCAAGGACAGATGCGATACAATAAAGTCTTGTGGTTGGCATTTTTACCCTTTTATTATTTTTTTTTTCGTATTTCGACTTTGGAAACGTACTGCTGCTCTCTGAGCATCATTAGTTTGCCGGATTTGGTAAGAAAAATACCCCCCCACTTCTGGGTGAAAATAATGGAACGGGATAAAGTAAACCCGATGTGTATTTTTATTGTGACTTACGCCATTTGAATCACCCAAAATCTAGGATTAGGCTTTTAACTTTTCCTGCCTTTTGCTATTGTGCAGCGACAGACATTTGAAAACAGTATATTCTCGTTGAACTGACTTTATTTTTCAATGTGATTTCCATAATAATATATTATATAACACTAATTACTAACACTAATATATAATTAAAAAGTTGGTGTGCGCGTGTTTGTTTTGAAATTATTGTTGTTTGAATTGGTTAATATAGTTAAAACAGTAGAAAATGCTGAAAGATATAACAAGTTTGAAATTATAGAAATTTAAAAATAAAGTTTTGAATACGTATGTTTGTACGTTACACAGATAAAATTTAAAGTTCAATTATAATACATTTAACTCGTGAATGCCAATTTAATTTTATCTTAATTTGTATTACTTATTTTTTTTATATCTTTTATGTCAAAATATATTTATTTTAATGCAAGAGTAAACAAGTGTGTTTATTACGACAAGTTAATTAAATTTGTCAAAACATGAGTTAAAAAATATATGAACCTAATTCGAAACTGAAAGTGTAAGATATTGTTTGATATTATTACAATTTGAATAAAGTTAGGATAATTTTTTGACATATATTTCAATATTTTGAAAGTTTGGTTTTGTGTTTTTGAGTATTTTAACGTTAAATTAACAAAAAATAAAAAAATAAATGTTTGTTTTAAATAAAGTAGGTTGAATTTGACAATTCGATGAATGTATTTATTATGTATTTACAACGCCAGATTTAACTTTAACGGCTCCGAACATTCAAATTTGTCTTCCATTGCCAAATCGTACTTACATTAAAAGTCAAATTAAATAATAAAATTAATTAAATACTTAAACCGTATTAAAATAATATACAATTTAGATCTGTCAATAAATATATTTCTTGTATATTGTTTAAATGCATAATATAATGGCATAAATAAGTATTATTGAAAATAAAAGAAGAAAAACATGTTGACTGCTATGAAATCTCATACTGGATCTAACCTCGCCGTATCCAGACTACCAAGCGTCTTTTTAGTTGATTTGCTCTAAAAAATATTTCGGAAAAAAGTTCACCTATCTATTTCATAATTTGTATTTTTAAAAGTATTTAAAGGTTTTCTAGTTGTTTTTTATTGTTTATGAGTGAGAAAATAATATCTAAAATATGATCTCATGACGTGGGAGACACTATTGATATCTTAATTAGTTTATATTCATACAAAGTGAGATCCAAATTGACCCTTCAATTTATCATTATACCACAGGTATTATATTATTAATAAGTATAAGATATAAATTAAACATTTGTGTATTTTTATAATATTGGTTCATGGATTTTATGTAAAATAATAGTATTGCAAACTTATCTACTAATAATAATGTACACTATGGTATAATTTTTGAAACACTTAACAAATTGGAATATTTATAATACAATGTATTATATGAATATGTGAATATTTATTATGATAACAATTAAGCGGCCCATACACGTTCAATATTATTAAAAAAATATTGACGAACATTGACGATGACCATTAACGGATCAATATTATTGAATAATTATTAAACATAATACCATTATCAAATTACCAGGTCCGTTATCAAATAGTAAATTAGATTTAAATTCGTTTTAAACAATTTATGCATTTTAATTATAAACAATTATGTCTGATAATTTAGATAATACTATAATAGCTTTTGCTCTAGCTATTTCTTTTCTTGATAAAAGGTAGAAAAAACGGAAGCAGAGGTTTTTGGCTAAAGAGTGGTTGCAAAAGCGAAATAAGTATAATTGTGAAAATCTGATATCTGAGCTACGATTAAACCAACCTGTAGACTATCGAATTTTTTTAAGAATGAATGAATCATGCTATGATGAACTTTTAACTTTAGTTACTCCATTAATAAAAAAATAAAATATAATAATGCGAGAATCGATTTCAGCAAGCCAAAGATTTTCCTTGATTCTATGTTACTTAGACACTGGTAACACATTTGGAGATTTACAATTTATTGTATTAATTTATTTTTAATTTGTTCAATATTATTGATCAATTTATTAATATTACCAATACACGATCAATATTATTGACAATATCAAATATTGATCAATATTATTTACCATGTATGGGCCATTAAATGGAGGGAATTTTATCAATGACACTATTAGGTCTTGTACATTTGTACCGATATTCATTATTCCTACCATTCACTTTGTGCAACTCATTTACCTATTAAATGTAGTAATTAAGTCAATTAAAATACTATTAAAATTTGTTTTAATAAGATAAACAAATAAAATCATATAAAATCAATAAAAAATGATAATATTCCTTGCTAAAACTACCATATAAAACTAGAAATACGGTAAAATCTAATCATGATTAATTTCCCTTGATATATGAGACCCAATTCGAGATCTAAATTATAAAAATGAACTATATGTGACATCCCCAAATGGATCTCATACATTTTTTGATAATTTAGGTGAGATCCAGATATGGGTCTCATGGCGGTATGAACAAATTTGACAAAAAACGGTTAGGCAGTCAACCTGTTAATAAATAATATAGTTATAAAATTCATATCTAAATTTAAGCATTCAAATAATTCATTAATAATAATTTCTTTCAAATAAAAACTGTCGATTTTATTTATTTATTAATTACTTTTCTTTTCTTTAGCCATCCTCATTGTATTTATTATTTTAATATTAATTTTTTTTACGAACTATTATAGAACTGTATATTCTATATTTAGATATAATACGTTGAAATTAGTAAATTTGACAACGTTGCATACAATTTCATACGCAACGTGTTTATTTAATTTTCTTATCTACCTTTTTGTTACCCATCTACAAACGTACGCAATCGTGTTGCCAAAAAGGACAAACGTACGAAATCGTGTTCTACCCAGGAATATAGCGTTGTAAAAAATAAAAGTCTATATATGTATAGTTACCGTGTAACTTATCGTAAGAGACTGTTGGAGTAATATTTTTATATTTCAAATAAACTGTATTTAAATACATGTTATTACGGTTCAACCAGAGATAAAAATATGTCGAAAATTATAAAAATGCCTTCGGAAATATGTTTTTAATTTTATTAAGCGGAATAAGACTATGATTTACCCGGACGATTTCGACAGGGTGAAGTCTTGACGAACTCGAAAAACTGATCGAACCAGAGAAAAAAAAAAAAATAGTGTGTACCGCCGTCGTTTCATCCCTTCCCTCCCCATCACCACACACCGTTGGTCAGTGATCGATCGACATTCTTGGGAGTTTTCGTTTTCTCATCTTAGCAGTATTTGTTCGTTTATTCATTTATTTGTGTTTCCAGCTAAACGTTTGGAAGTGATGGCGCCCAGTCCACGTATCATGTCGCCGCTGGGCTTCGCCGTCAACCGACAATATCCCAGCAGACGGCCCACTCGGTACAACGATTTCTACGACGACTCGGACGCGTACGAGTTCGACGATAACAACCCGGATCACATCAAGCCCGTGCCCATATGGCTGTGCGTGCTGCTGGTAGTCAGCTACATCATCATGGGCGCGTTCCTATTCAGGAGCTGGGAGAACTGGGAGCTACCGGACTCGGCGTATTTCTGCTTCATCACGCTGACCACCATTGGGTTCGGCGACTTTGTACCCGCCCAGCGGGTGATCAACAAGGGTGACAATACCAATCTGCGCATATGGTTCTGTTCACTGTACCTCCTGTTTGGTATCGCCCTGTTGGCCATGAGCTTTAACCTCGTCCAGGAAGAAGTCATCAGCAACGTGAAAGCCGTAGCCCGACACTTGGGCATCATTAAAGACGAGGACGAAGAGGATTCCGACTGAGGGGAATGCATCGTTTACGGGCGCCGAATAAGGTTTTCACGTTACACGTATAATATATTTGTACTATTGTATTTTATTTTTACCAACGGTCAAACTCGAATCCACGCGATTAGATCAAGATTTTTATAGCATCAATGGTCAACTGAAGAAGTGTACTATAGTAGATATTAAACTGAACCCGTCGTTTGTTGGGAACGGTTTTTTTTCTTTCAATAATTTCATTAACATTTTTGCTTTTATTTCCGTCGATTTAAACACCGCTTGTGTTTAAAGAAAAATTCGGTTTCCATTAGTTCAAACTTTTCGTTATCAATATAATTGAATTCGGTTTTATACAACTCTGGTTGAACAATCGAATTCTTAAAGTTTTTTTCGATTTTTCACATTTCGAACTGTTTGACTCGTATTTTAATCCATAAAATTATAAGGTTTAATACAAGATTCAACGTATATATAACCATTCGTTGCGCAGCTTACTATGCATTTGAGTACAGATTTGCTTTTATTGTATCGTACCTATCAACTATTGTCGAATCAAATAATTTTCGATAATGTTTTTTACACCACAATAAGATGTTAAACGTTCGAAATTTCACCGGATTTATATCCGTAGTCATTCATGGTTTAAAAAAAAAAATAATGTTCGGTTCGAAATGACAGTGAAAAAAATACAACCCGTTGCGGTCTGTACTGGTATAATAAGGACGAGGTGTTACTTTTCGATTCTCGATTTTTTTTTTTTTTTTTAGTTGATAGAATTAAACGTTCACTGCACGGTGGATCTGTTCATATTTTGTACATTAGAAAATGAGAAATTATTTCTTCTCAAAAATACGCTTGACTGAATAATATAATATTGTATAGAGAGCGTTTAATTAATCAGCGTTTAACAATATATTTTTTTTATTTTTAATTAAAAGTTATCAAACACCGTTATTCAAAAATATCGCGACAACTACAATACATCTCACCCACATTAAAGCAGCGGCAATAATAATGAGGACTTAACGCGTTATTTTATGCGCAACAACTCGACTGTGTAAATAAAAGTTCATTGTATTACAAAATCGTATAATTCAGCTCATGAGCACATAACAAAAACGAGGTCACGAATCTTTGATAAGAATCGTTCGTCGTTTAAATCTTTAAAACCATCAACATGATATGTTGTAGTGCATTTCGAGTAATAGAGCTATTGATAAAATTATGTATAAACACACAACGTTAAAATGGTGCAGAATACGAAACGTTAACGACTTTATTTATCCGACAGACTGTAATATGAAATATTCTTTATGTATAAAATTTGGTGTACCATACGAACGGTCCTTTTTTTACCCAGGATTTCGAATATTTGTAATGCCTATTTTTCAGTTAAAATAATCATTTTTGTTTAAAATTATTGCTAAATAAATGTCATTCTTCTATAACATTTAAATCGTGACTCGTATATTTTAACAACTTTACATTGATTGAATTAGCAATTTTATGTTCAAAGATTTAGAGAGCAGTTTGTCGTTAAAAAAAATGTTGTATATAATTTTATAACTGCATTTATTTTTAGGTTTCAAATTAATTAGTTTACTTATCTTAGTAATAAGTTAAATTAAAATACTTAAATTATGAAAGACATTCAAAATATTTCTTTATTGAAATTTTTGTAATTAATAAAACTGATTGTATGCCGGTTAGATTACAAAGATACGATATATGTTATTTTTTTATTAGGTTTATTATCTATAAGGGACAGCTGTGGTACTTTCCGTCGATTTTTAGTGTTTAGTCCATAAAAACGTAAATGTTTACTGTAAGAATTTTTAATTGCAGAATAATACTAACAAACAGTTTTATTTTATAAATATATTATGTTTTTATAATGCTGGTGTTAATTATAAAAAAAAAAAAAAAAAATAGATTTTGTCTTCAATTAACTAACGACGATAACGATTTACGGACTTACTGCTAATAAACACTATTATATTAATAAATAATATTATATATTTCTGAATAAAATCTTTTGTTTTATGTTTCATTGGAGTGGTGTGTTGCCGATAAAATTTTTATTTAAGTATTGTATTGATGTTTTATTTTTTATTTTATTACAATTTGAAATCAGTAAAAACTATATGTATATATGTTTATTCTTTAACATTTTAAAGTTCACGATTGAAATTATATGCAGACTTTAATGTATATAAAACAAGAACTTTTAAAAACTATGGCATATTGATTGTGTGTTCATTATATGAGAAATTAATTTTCTTTCGTTGAAACCCTTCCATTATAATATGTATTCGTTCGTAACATCAGTATCATAATTCAATTCGAGTAATGAACATCTTCGTTGGGTGTCAATAGTTAGATTTAACGCTGAACCTACATTGAAGGTTATATTATGGTAAGTAGTTATCGTTAAAATTGTATATACCCGATAACTGTCTTTATTGCATTTATATAATTGAAAATGCTGCAACAAGGTATAGTCTGCTGCTGTGTTTAATGTCGATTCGCGCTGTCTTTTAAACATTTCCTATTCCCATTTCCATGTTTGATATTGAGAATAACGTCGTTCAACTATAAAATGAAGATTATTACTAAAAAAGGAACTTCTTAGACGTTGTCAGATATACATGAATGTAAATAACATTCGTATAACGTAATATTCTACTTTTGACGTTTCGATTAGAAATACTTGTACTTTTATTTGTACATAACATCGAACTCAGTTATGTATATATATGCGCACCGAGTATGAAATTGTTTAAGCGTAAAATTTAAGAAACTATTTCGAAAGGTTTATAAGAAATTACACGAAATACAGCTTATTAACATATTATTTTATATGAAATATGAATGGCATATAATGAAAATTGCATTTCTTTGATTTAGAGGCCAACGCCAAAAGTTTAATGACATTTTCGACTTACGCCACTTTCTAGTGACTGATTTAATTAAACTTTTTAATAAAATTAATATTTAAAGAAACCTTTAGGGGAATGAAATAATTTCTCAAATTCACTGGAGTTAAACTTGTTCGCATTATTATTGTTGTCTTATTGTTTACGGGCTACGATAACTATTACAGCCAGCATACACGGAATTTAACTTACTTATTTAGAAATTTTATATTTTCTAAGTATAGAAAGGTCAGCAATATCTATCTATCATAATATAATGTATAAGTATAAAATGTATAATATGTAACGGAGTTCGTGCAAATTAACTCCGTTAAATAGTTAATCAGTTAATGATTATTAATAGTTCATCAGTGACTTTGGAAGTATTTAAATTATTAAAATAAAATCTCCAGAACTTAAATATTTTAAAAGTAAAAAAAAATACTTAATTTAGAAAAATTCAAATGTTTTCAATAAATTTTAAATGTAGATTTGTTTTAATGTTAAAAAAAATATGGGTTATGATATTTATTAACAAAATATTTTTTTTTCTGTTCTATTTCTTATTTAGTAAATATTTTTATTGTTATTATTATTACTGTATTAAATACAGAATTTTATTTTATATAATATAATTGTGAACGGTATTTTGATTTTTAAATTATATTTTGTTTATATATTTTAAATAAGTGAAGTTCCAACGTTAATTATTATTAGTATTAAAACATTAATGACGAAAAAATTAATTCTAAAATACATTTTTTCTGACACATCAATTTATGTATCCAAAATGTACTTGATATACGTCATGTTATTATTTTGTTAATATAATGCGAACAATAATTCCAGTACTTATCGAGTTTTGAAAGTTGAACATTTAAGTAGGAATAATTGGCAAATCGGTTCGGACATGTTAAATATCATGATATTATTTTCACCAAAAATGTTTATCCATTGAAGCCATCTGAAATTGTTCATACACAAGTAGCCTGAGTATCGATATTCACAAGTACGTTGAACATTTTTTATCTTATTATATTTTTTATTTTTTACATTATTCATAACTGACTAAGCGTTAATGACAGTTAGAGGTAAAATATTAATTAATTGATATATATTTCTTATGAACTATCAGTCAAGTATTTATGACAGTTGCATTTTTTTTTTATTTTCTACTACCGTTCACTGCAATTCATTGTTCATCTCAGTTATTTCGAATCGATTTCTCGTTTAACGATACAGCCGATTATTGTTATAACTTCATCATCGCATCGTTAAACCGCATTCAGAGTGGAATATCGCGACGCTCATAAAAATGGAAGAATAAAAACGTGATGTACCATTATGGAAATGAAGTTCCGAATTAATGTCGTCGTCCTCGTCATCGTCTTCGTGGTCGTCGATTAAAGCGGAACAATACTGGAAACACTCTTGAATGCCAACCCTTTATCTTCATTGTGGCAAAGGAGTGCGCAAAAATGATTTTCGGAGGTCGAATAGACTCGACTAGGAGGTTCGGCGATTTATACTCCCACCCTCTCACTACCCTGCCGGTCGGTGTTAAACTCTTCGATTCGTAGATGACGACAACGTGTTGATATGACGGAATATCTTCCGCAAACAGAGTTGAACGTAAAATGTGTTTCGTACAGTTTATATCATACATATTTTTGAGCAAAGAGTGACAGCACAATTCTAAATCGTTCGCATTTGATGCGTTCGATGTAAGCAAAAATAAAAAAAAGATTACACGTTTATAACAAACACGTAGTTTTGTAATAAGTTCATATCGTTATTGTAATTGTTATTTGCGTTTATCAATAAGATATCGCAACAGTGTATATGTAATAATAATAAGGGTTTTTTTTTTTTTTTTAAATAAACGAAAAAAAAGATAAAAACAAAATACCGAAAAGATATTATGAAGTGCTCTGCGTTGCGTATACAATACGCGTTTGAGGGGTAAAACGGATTAGAGTGCGGGCGGTAAAATATACGTCATACGACGATCGCGAAATGGACTCGTTCGTTAATTGGAAAAACTCAAGTGATACAATTGAACGGTTTTAACGAGTTATTTCACGACACAAAATTTTAAATTATTATAATTATTAATATTATCATCATTGTTATGACCATCACTTTTGCAAACCTGAAGATAATTTTAAACAATAACAGTATAATAGATTACTGCGAGTGATGATCTATAATAATAATAACGAAGAAAATTTTACGATATAGTTGTAACGCGAGGAGAAATAAGATATAACGAAAAAAATCATCAGCCGTTTCATGTGAGGAAATAATCACTGTTAGTATTCGACGTCCGAATTGTTTGGAACAAAAAATAACGGAGTCTGTGGTACGTGCGCACACAAGAGTTTATAGCATTATATTTGAAATCCAGTAAAAAGGGAGAGCACATTTTTATATTTCCACCCGAAACTCCGTCGTCTATAAGGTGCGGCATCACCCAATAGGGCCACACTCGTAATAAATGTGATGTATATACGGCCTTCAGTTGCAGCGTAAGTATTACAATCGTAAACGCATGGTCATTACATCGCCAAGTTCTGACGCGCCGACTGAAAAACTGTAAACTGCCATAACTCCATCAATCACGATCGTATGTACTTCCCAGCAAGTAGCCTATGAAACGAAAATGGTCGATAAGTAAACGAGACCCAAGCTGATGGTCGACATTTCGTAATGATAGTATACGTAGAGACGTATTTAGGAATTTTGCGTCCCAGGTAAGAAAAAAAAACACTCCCTCCCCAAACTAAATTTTTTTAGCAATAGGTGTATTTGTAAAAAAAAATAACTAGTACATAAATCGATAAACGTTACGAACTAAAGTTATTATTACTGGCACAATCGTTTAAACATGTCTATAAAAAAACATTAGCTTCAATTCTGGTTTCATCTATTCTGTGTGTCTCAATTCTTAAATTAGTAAGCTACAATATACTTTTCTATGTCATAACTTCTAGTATTATTACTGCATGTTTCATGGCAAATTAAATTCACAATAACAAGTTTATTAGTATCATAATGAACAAATAAGGCAGGGATATGTGAGAGGTAGTATTGGTGTTGCATCGATAGTAGACAATATGAGAGAAAATAGACTTAGATATTTTGGGCATGTGATGAGGCAAGAAGAAACAAAAGCAGTAAAAGTGGTTATGAAAATTAATGTTGAAGGGAAAGGAGGAAGAGAATGATCAAAAAAGAGATGGTTGGATACAATTGAAAATTATATGAGGGCTGTTGGTGTGTACATAGAGGATGTAGAAGATCGAGACGAGTGGAGGTTTAGTATAAAGTTGGCTGACACCAAATAGTTGAGGGAAAAGCGAGGGAGAAGAAAAAAGAAGTTATATTAGGTTAGATTAGCTTATTAGTGTAACACTATTATTTGAAAAGACGCTTGCGATTTTTAGGACGAGAGAATTTCTCGTGCTCTTTTCAGGTTGATTTTCCGAAAAACAAGACTTCTCAGGTAACGGTCATGATCATGGTATCAGTAATGCGCGTGGGGAACATCATCAGTGGGATAGTGCAATGGAAGTATGTTATTATCGATCGGTGCTATCACTGATTTTAAATTGTTAAATAAACTCGCCATCCTATTGTTAAGACTGATCAAAACAACAGCTATA